TTGACAAAGGTGAAGTGTAAACACCAAAACGTGTTCACGAGTGTGTGTTCGATGTGTTTCTATAATTCAATATGAGAAAGGAAAAATAAATTGTCGATAAAAGACAATATACCAAACATGTGGTGTGCAAATATGAAGCATGAAAAGAAAAAAAAAATACCGTCTATGTATGATCCATACTAGATCTGACCAACTGCCCATCCTACCTTCTCTACGTTCTTGACAGCTAGTGACAATATTGATGCTAGTGACGATATAGATGCAAACCACTATTGAACATGTGAAATCGAGCAATGCAAGCCTCACAACAATCCAACATCTAAATCCTATCCCATACTCCATCAACAAGGAATCTAAAATCAAGAGAAAGTACTAATTCGCGATGTGAAGGTCCAAAGTCGAAATATTTTTAAGCAAATGAAGCCCTTTAGATCAAAAACACATTATAAATTCCAAATATGCATTGTAGATGTAAGAATTGAAGTAAGAAATCAAAAGAAATTAAAAACCCAAAAAAATAGGAAAAAAAACTGAAAATTAGGGATTGATGTTTTACCTTTGAAATTGGTTGATCAATTGAGATTATGTCACTCAAATGTTGATGTACATACGTCCAAAGGTTGAAGGAAGGCAAGAATTGGATATGGGCATCAAAGATTGGAGTGATAAAAGCAAGAGATGAGGAAGAAATGGGGAAAAAAAGTTTCTACAATTTGCGTAAAATTCAAAAATATGGGTTGTCGCTCGAGAGAGAGTAAAGCGTTAGGTTAGCGAAAGAGCCACTGCTTTTGGCGCTCAATCAATGGCTCAATGTCAATTGAGCGAGAAACTTTTTACCAAAAGAGCACTATTTTTCTGAAAATACCAAAATCTAACACATACACACACACACATATATATGGTAACTCCAACATCTATGGTAACTCAAAAATGCAATTGATCACAAGTACGATATAATCAATGAATAGAAATACTTTCTCACATACTTAAGCCAAGTTTAAATGGAGTAAATTGTATACATTACCCATGTGTGAGAAGTGCACTAATTCTTTGTGAGCATGACTTCAAACCTTATATTTGTAAGAAAGGATATGCTAAATATCACTACAAAATGAGTATTTTTCTCTATTAATGAAAGTCTTATCTAGCACTACTGAGACTTTTAATTAAAAAAACTTATATTGACTTTTCAATGTATAAATTTTCTTTCTCCCCATATTAGTAAGTAAATTTTTTTTAATTATTATTATTTTTTAAATCACATGGACATCTCATATCCTTCAAGCGGCTAAGATGGTCGATGACTCCAAGTCAATTGACTATAGGGCATCAGGTTACGAGAAACCCCCAAACTTAATTGTTCGAGTCAAATAGGTTCCAAAGACGAGTATAAGATAAAGCTCATTTTATAATATATTTCAAAATTTTACTCTCAGCCAGCTTTTTTTATTTATTTATTTTTTTTGTTAAGGGGGAATATACTAAAGGCATGTTCGGTAGTGATTATGAAAATTAATTTTTTGATTGTTAGAGAGAAAATGGATTTCATCTATGAGTGAAGAAGTAAAAATGACGGCTATAATAGTGAAATAGTGGTTAAAAAATTGATTTTTTAGGGTGAAAAATTGCTACCAAATGTGTGCTAAAGCTTTATGTCAAACAGTTACAAATCAATTCATGTTCAAAATCACCTCACCGATAGATGACTGCCATCCCAAGTCTCACACATTCGATCAAAATTCACTTACAAGATCATAATATATGCTGTGTAGATGGTACATGAAGAGACCTATACCAAGTACTCGACATAAATCTAAACAAAGGGATAGAAACTACATAACTATTCATCAGTTGTACCCATACTTGGTCACAAAAGGCAAGATCAAGCAAATCAAATACGATGCCGTAGTGTCAATTTTTTTTCCAATGAAGCGAACACAACAAAATGAATACAATTAGAATGAAAATGTATGCAAGAACGGATGAACGACATGAACTGCACATGTGTACACCTAAGTACCTAATCAAAGAGGTACAAAGACACTTGAAAAAGCAATAGTTCGACCCAACCATGTTAAAATTTAGACGGTCAAGTCTCAAATGCCGTAAACATGTTGAATCTTTGGCACATGCTTCCAAACACTCCACTTCTTCACTTCGAATATTCAACAAGAAAATTCGTTCAGTACGGAAACGATTTAAGTGACATCAAATTTTGAGTTTTTTGTCATGGTTTAATGATGATAAAAATATAAAATGATATTACAAAAAGACTAAAAATGACATAATTTATAAGTTACATTTGTTCCTTGCAATTTTTCATAATTTGATACTGTTATATGATAATTTCATTATCAATCTTAAAAAATATCTCATTGAAAAAATTGAATTTTTATATTATGATGTATTGCCTTTTTGTTTTGTGAAGCCTCTTTCAAAAAACAAACAATGAATTTCTATGCTAGGATGTATTGTCTTGTCATCTAAAAAACTTGAATATCTTGTTGTTACATAGAAAATCTACGAGTCCAAAGATGACTCCTATCGATGTTGGGAAGATAAAACTTTCATATTGCCAATGCCTATTACAGTTATCTTTAGCATACTAATTCAACTAGGCAAGTGTAGGCAATCTTTAGCATTCTAATTGAACAAACTTTTGGTCCATTCCATTGTTGTACTCCAAATATAGGGCTCTCAAAAAAGAAAAAAAAAAGAATGGGCACGAGCCCAAAGTTCCGTGTAGATTTGCCAGCACTAGACCATATGGGGCACTGACCCTAATTACATGTAAATTGAAATTTGTTTCTTCTTTTTCAATCATCTATCCTAAAAAAAATAAAAATAAAATACTATTCCACTCATTAAAATTTGTAATAATGGGAGCCTAATGGGAGCTTAATAACTATGGAAGCTCGTTGTTTCGTTTTAGGTTGTAAATTTTGTTATGCTTTGATGAACTGTGTTATTTGTTTCATCTTTAGTGATGTAAGATATTATTCTTAGCATATGCTTTGCACGATGGTAATTTGTTTGAATACACCAATCTTAAAATTTTTTGAAAAAAATTCAAATGTTATGAACTCAAATATAGCCCCGATTTGAGAGTTATACTTTCCAAACTCTTTCTTCTACATACTCGTTTTCAATTAAATATTCACACTATAAAATATTTTGCACGTAAACACAAATATTTTTTTCCTACTTTTTAACCATTCATTCTCCTAAAATTTATTATTCAAAACTCTTTTTTCCAAAAGTATGATTGTCAAATATGGGCTTAATATTAAACCTTGAGGTTAAGAAAAAAGCTTCGTCGTTGAAAATTAGATTAGTTAAATTGTGATTGTTAGGAGTTGGTTTGAGAATATTAATATTGTAATTTCTTCGTTTATGTTCGACTGTTGAAATGTCAACAATCTATATCGATAAATTGATTTAGAATTGATTTGTGCTAAACTCAAATAAATTAACAATTATTGAGTTCCATTGTGCTTAAAAGTCTTCGAACTTGAGGCCTTCGAACTGTCATTTCAATGGGCAATGGTCCTAACCTTACTGGAAAAATGATGTGTTCCATAAATAGTGCAACCTTCATTACGAGGATGAATTATATTCAAATATCAAAATTCTAACTATTATTTAGTTATTACGAATTAAGATTTTCACAAGTGCAATTCATTTGTTTCATTTTTTAAAATTTCACATGAAAAATCTAAATTAGTAGTTTTGACCCTTATTTCAAGAAAAAGTAGGCAGATAAATAGTATGTGTGGTTTCTCCTCCTCAACAATAACAATTTTCTCCAATCTGTGAATCAAGATTATTATAAGCACGGATAATTTGTGTTGGATCCCCTCATTTAAAATTAACGTGTTAGATAAGATACAATTTTTGTTTATTTGTTCTAATAAATGTGGCAATATTAATGAACTATATGCAATCAACAAAGAGAGAGCAAGAGCAAACATGTACAGATTTAAGTGGATCAATGATAGACCTACATCCATGGGAGTCAAGCAATTATGATTTTATTATATGAAAAATCAAGCTATAGGTACAATGATGGTTGACAATCATCATCACATTCATCAATTTCAAAAATAAATAAATAAATAAATAAAAATTAAAAATAGTTTTTTAAATCAATTGTCCAGATTTTGAAACATCAAACATCGTCAATTGTGATTGTACAAGTAGATTAATTTTTATACGAACATAATGGGGTTACAATATGCACGTGCTCGTGCACATACTTTCACTATAATTCGTATGAGATATTTAAAAAAATTCAAAAATACCCCTGTATAATGTCGCGGAGTGTTGCCCCCCACCCTTGACATATTAAATGTCCCTAACAAAGTAACCATAAGCTACAAGCACTTCGACCTGTGTTTTAGTATCTATATATTCAACTCTATATAAATAACATATTAGTGTTAATAAATAAGTGGAGGAAAAATTTAAGCTTAAATTATCTTTTGAATACTTTGATACTATGTCAAAACATATTACCATTTAAACTCTTAAAAAATATGTATTTGCATATTTTAAATTAAATTTATAACATCTGAGCTCAAGAACAAATGTTCTAACACAAAAGATAACAACTAAAAGCATGCCTTAGTTCTAAATTAAAGGAAGACAAATTTGATCACAAGTAGGGGTGGATTACGATGTGTGGGATGGGGTGATGTTGGTATTGATGGAGTTGGTTGGGTGAGCTTGATCGTAAATTATATTTTTCTAATTTTTTTATGTATTAATAATTATTTAATTATTCTAAATGAAATCTATTTGTCCTTTGTGAAAGGTTATAGGTTAATATTTTAATTTGTCCTTTTTTTTGTTGTTTAATAATTTTTTATTTATTTTAAAAAGACAATTTCGTCATTAATGACCAATATGGAGGGAATGATGTATAATGTATTTACAAATTGAAATATTGGAAGAATTTTTCTTGGGGTACATAACCTCTTATATAAGGGTGTTCAAAATGAACATCATGTACCCCAATAATCACCCATGTTGGGATGACTAATGCTAAAAAAGGTTTAGGTACGTTTGTTACACTTTCAAACGTTGGAGACAAAAGTGCAAATTCGCTTTCAATGAAGATGAACCCCTTTCTCCTTTGGCAATTTGCAAACCAACTTTATATTTTCTCTGCTACTTCAGCTCGCTTTCTAACTTTGGATGCTTTCTACTTTCTCTCTCTAGGGTTTCTCTTCTGCAGGTGGAGGTCTTAATCTCTTCCCTGAATTAGAAAATGTTACATTGTTAAAGCTTTCTATTTTATGCAAAAAAAACTGAATGATTCTTCTAACTGACTACCTCTTACTTTTCTATTTATATTTATGCATGTTTATTAATATGTATATTTTTATAGATATATAGATAAATCCTCTTACTCCCCCCCCCCCCCCGCGCTTTTTTTTTCCTTATTTCTATCAAGAATCATTCTTTTTTCTATCAAAGACCGAAGTTCTTTTCACTTCTTTATCGTCCCTTGAACTCTGTATATTTCTTATTGTAACTGACGAGATATACGTACCATCTGTTCGCAGTGAGTGCACTTTGAAAATGGTGAGACAGAAGATTCAGATCAAGAAGATTGATAACTTGACTGCACGCCAAGTGACCTTTTCAAAGAGAAGAAGAGGGGTTTTTAAGAAGGCTCAAGAACTCTCCACTCTTTGTGATGCTGAGATTGCCCTAATTGTTTTTTCTGCCACTGGAAAACTCTTCCATTATTCTAGCTCAAGGTATTCTAATTTCATCTCTTGATCTTCTCTCTCTTGAACACACACACACAACATGCTACTGGGGACGAAGCTTTGATGCTTTTGGCTACTGAGCTCAATCGCTTAGCTAGATTTGTATTGAAAGCTAAAGATATTAATAGGCTAAAACCACAGTGAGAATGATTAGAGAGAACGTTCTTCAGAGAAGGTACGAATTAAATGGGCAGTAACGGAAATTATTAGGTAGAAAATTGTAGCTCCAATATGGATGCAAATAATCGAGAAGTGTGATATAAAGGATCGAACAAAACTAGGGGCGAATGGTACACTGATCTATCATATATATCACAAGTTTTTTCTGCTGTTTGCGTTTGTGAAGTAGCTTTTGGTGAAGGTGGTGGGGGGCAGGAAAATGTGAACACATGGATGGCACAAAACTGAAAGTATTCTAGTATCTCGTGTTGTTTTCAGCAAATCTTTTGATCTTCAATAGTCAGTGAATACTATTGAATATGTTCATTTTGAGAGTCAATGTGGGACAGTGGGTAGTACAAGTCATGAATGAAATAGCGCCGTCAGTGAGAGATGGCTTGGTTTCTTTATTTTGTGTCTAAGGTTTTCACCTTAAACATGTGAGAAATTAGTTGTTTTCCTATCCAACACTGTCTTGTCGAGTAAATACTCTGTTCAATGTGTTAAAAGTTTAAAAATAATGTGCTATAAAATGGTATCATGTCATGCAAATGTCTTAAGTTGAAGTATTTAGCCACCCATAATTATGAAATTGGTGCATGCCTTGTAGCTTCGACTAGAAAATACTGATTCTGGCTTGCACCAGATTGGTTAAAAATTCCATTGGTTTACTATTCAATCAGATATCATCTTTAACAGTTACACTGGTTGCTTCTATTGCTTAAACAAGACATAGACCTATAGAAATTTCAAAAGTTGGCTCTCACATTTACATATGAAATGAAAAATCTTTATATAAGATTTTGCGAGTAGTAATCAACGTCTATGAGAACATTTAATCAATTTATGTTATCTAATAGCTTAAATGGTTTAGTATTATATATTCTGACGTTTCAAAGTGGTATTAAGTTCATACTCATACAAGTATAAATAAGGTCGCTATAGTTCTTGCTGTCACCTGAAGGGAAAAACTGAAAACTTATATATAGCCGGTTAAGTTTAATTCTATATTGATTACTATTTCATTTTAATATTACTAATAAAATGTTGGGGATCGATAGATGATGAGGGTGGTAAATAGGTGCTGACCTAGTTGGGACATGCAGGTGTACATATTGATTCCAATTCTTAAAAATCTTATGCAAAAAATAAATGAAACTGCATGCATTTTCAACGAACCTTCTAGAATTTAATATGGTTGAATGTATGTACCGAAGTGGAAAAAAAAAAGTCATACTGTTGAGTTTCGTATTCATTACAAAATATGCAATAAGTCATACAGTTGAGTTTTCTATTCTATACCAAACATGCCATTCTATTTATAAAATATGTTTGATTTTTATTTTGTCTTCCCCTAGTTTAATTCGTTGAAAACATTGTTCCCCCATGTTATATTCTGCAGCATGATGGAATTAATTGAAAGGCATGGAAGGCAATCAGAGAACTCGAGCAAATTAGGGCAACCATCTCTCCAACTTCAAGTGAGATCACACCATTTATAGACAATTTGAATTTAAATTTGTCGTTTGTGTTTATGCTTTATATATTGAAATTATAACAAGAAAATAAAGATGAATAAGACTTCAACATCGATTAATGCAGTAAATTTTAAACATTACCATGTGAGATTAAATAATGCAAACAAGATTATTTCCAGCTCATTAAATGTAGATTTATGTTTTGTTGTATTTAGCCCCATGTGGGCAATTACTATGATGCAAATAGTCCCGTTTAATTTAAGATTATATTTTTTATTTTTATTACTTTAATTTATTAGTCTTTTATCATTTTATATTTAGTACGATTTTATTAGGATTAGGAGTTTAATCAAAATATTAAGTTTTCTGGATTTTATTTATTTATTTATTTTTTTTGCATAAAAGTCTACTTAGGAGTAATTTGGTGTTATAATTGTGTTGTAGGATTGAAAGTGAATAGAAAGTTTGAGATTTTTCTTCTATTGTTCACCTAAATGGTTAATTCGTGCACGCATTTTCCTTTTTAATCTTGTATTTGTTATTGTCTAGCGTCCACCCGTGTCAATTGGTATTATAGCCTAGTCTACGCTTCTAACAATGTATCGATGAGGACAAGTTAGTTGTCGTTGTGCCATGATTGATAATGGAAACCATAGGCATGAACTAAGACGTATCTTCTAACATCTTGAAGTAGCACAAAAGGTGGCCACATTGGTTATACTTGCACAACAGATGCAACAAAAAGGACTTGCAAGCCGTAAAAACACCTTTTTACGGCGTGCAATGTATGCCGTTTACGAACGCCGTTATTAGTTATATGATTGCGAGTTTTTTACTTTTAACGGCATGCGCCTGCACTCCGTAAATTCGAGTTTTTACTTGTCACACGCCGTGAAAGGTGACCCTGTTACCATTTAAAGCTTGCTTTTGCACGCCATAAATGTTAATTTAATTTTTAAAAATCTGTTTATTTATTTGATTACCAACACCTATAATAATTACGTAAATCCAATTCCAACTCAACTAAGATAAAAATTAAAATATTTTTGAGTACAAGCTAGCATTATAAACAACATTAAACTAATTAATTATTCTAAGCTTAAATGAAAAATTAACCCAAACATGTATCATATAAATAAAATGTACCAACCAATATAACAATACTTTCCATTGCCTCAACCAACAGATATAAGTTCAACCAACAGTTCAAGTTATAAACTTCTCCCATACATGAGAATATATAATAACAACGATAGTCTTCAGCACAATAGACTTGGGAAGCAAAAAATAGTCTGAAAATTCTGATCAGTACAATTGGTTAAAAAAACTAATAGAGTACATACTGAGAGAAGAAGATTAATCCTAAAATATCTGGTAAACTTGTGGGAAATATCATGTAATTATTATAATCAACTGAACCTAGCTACTTATGATCCAAAATATAACAGCATTATCACAAGTTTGTAAGGGAATAGCATACAAGATTTTATTCAATTGCCCTTGGAACATCGTGCTTGAGCAGAAATTTGTGCAGAGCCAGAAAGAAGAAAACTTCTCACAGAAATAACTATAACCCGATTCACAAGACGTATCTAACACTAAGTGCATTACCTGGAGAAGTCTCCAAGGTGAATCCGGCCAGTGAATGGGGTCAACAGCCTGAACTGATGCTATGGTTCCCATGAACCAACTTATTCATGAAGAACCCTCTGTTTCAAAGGCCATCTTGAACCTCATGCCGGAGCACCAACGAATTTGCAATGCCGCCTTTACAAGAGACGCCTTCACACAAAACTCGGAAGTGCCAGATTGAGGATAATAAACCACCTCGAAAGGTTGTCCACTGGCAGCAAGAGTTGCAGCTTCAATAACTGATTCGGGCTTCACTTTTCCCTGGCCAATTAAATTCCTACCTGAATTTCCTCTACCATTTCTGGTCAATCTATTCTCATCTTCCCTCAGGAAGTCTGAAAACCCTCCGTATGGCATGAAGCAACTGCCACCTGCCAGATTCCACAGGGATGGTGTTTCCAGTCCTCCATCGATTTCTCTCTTCGCCCGCCTAATTCAAATGCAAAGATCCCCATTTTTGGCCCTCAGAAACACAACTGAATCACCTGCTACGAGTTTCTTGTGGTTCACTGTTAGGTCTAAAAGTGTAATTGGTGATTCTGTGGACAAAATGGACTAAATTGTATAACTGTAAAAGTCAGGGACTTAATTGAACATTGGTGTAAAAGTCAGGGGCTTAGGGTCCAATTTGTATAGATGAGGTAAATTAGTGTTCGAGTTGTTGAAGGAGCCTAAGATGTCCAAGAAGATTACACAAGATCATCGGAATGCAATTGGAAGTCTAAAGGATATCAAAGAGCCGCACAAAATATGTTCCGAATTTTCAGTCATAATTTTCAATGCATTTTTCACATAGAAAATGTTGGAATTTGGACAAGGCTATTTCTAGAAGTAGTATTCCTTTGAGTTATCTTTCCAAAGGAACTTGAATCACCTCAATCGGACATCGAAAGAGAAAGTTATGATGAAAATACTGACGACTGTTCACTATCGCTCGCTTCTCGCTGGCATTTCGCTCGAGCGAAAAAAACAGAATACCTCTCGCTCGATTCTCGCTGGCTCTCGCTCGAGCGACACTCCTATGCAGCAAAAGCCCTATTTCACATTTTTGAAGTGTTTTACTTTGCCCATACCACTTAGACACTGTTAAATATAAATACTCAGGTCCTAAGACGAAATTGAAGGGGTTGCTACATTATTCTTTCATTGTAAAAGATATTCATAACATCTTTGAAGAGATCCAAGGTGCAATTAATTGGAGATTTCATCTACATCAATCTTGTGATTTGGCAACCATTGTTTCGGGTAAAAACATTGAATCTACATAACCCAAAACACTTACTTCCTTAGTCTATTGAGGAAGGGACTCTCTCATTGGAGGATTGAGAGAGGTGAATTGAGGCGCAGTTACAAGCACAAGAATGGACGGTTCTTGGTGTTCCACTTAGTGATACAATCAGTTAGGGATCAGGAGGTTGTAATGAACAGCAGATTGGGCTGCAGGAGGTAGATCAGGAAGTCTAGCAAGAGGCTAGAAGTATTTACAGTAGTAGATCGTGAGACTAGAGCAGCGGGTCTGATTGGGGACGGAGTTTGGTATAACTTGTACTTGCTGAATTGGTGTAGTGGAGGTAACTGACTTGGTCCCGGAGTTTTACCCACGTTGGTGTTTCTCTGTCATCATATTATTTGTTATTTACTGTTTTACATAATATACAAATTGTGGCATTCCAACATAGGTTAATTGACTTGTATAATTAATCACCTATACAACTAATTAAAGTGACTTATTACTTTAGTTAGATTAATTCCGCACGTAAGGTCAAATTGGTTAAAGTGAAATTTAGAACGTAAACTTTGTAACGCATAGAATTTGAACTTGATACTGTATCAAGTTAGTCGAACTTTCTAGCATATCTAAGCGTTCTAGGTCAAATTTTTTTTTCATTCACAAGAGTACTCCATACTGTTTGTTAGGATTATCCGAACCATTCATCCCAACAACCCCACTTTCATCAAAATCAGCCTCATTCCCATTAACGGGAACCAATCGCATTTTCGTAAAAGCCTCATCAGTCTTAGGATCCGCCATGAATTTAACTGTAGGAACTCTACAAGGTATATAAGCCGGAACTCTAGGGCAGCTCCTAAAATCTACATTTCCTAAGGCGTGATCGGTTTGCCACTGTGGGAAGTAAAACACATTTCAATTCGTTGGAGGCATTTGGACCATACTACCAGCACAAGCATGCCATAATTGAGAATCCAAACATTTCTCTTTTTCCTTCATTTTCTCTTTAGATTCTATAAATATAATCATCTCAATCAGCAATTCTATCTCACAGGAATAAAACCCAAAACTCAATGCGTTAAAGGCCCTTTCTTTACAATCTCGTTTATCACACTTCAAAGCTCAAACATCCGTAGCTGCAAAATAAAGGTGGATTTCTTATGTATAATAACAAATCAATGTTTTCTGCACAATAATTTTTTATTTTTATTTTTATTTTTTACCAACACTAATAAATTGAACCAAAAGAAATTCAGTTTTTTTTACCATTTTTATCTCCGGCTGCCAAACAAATCCATCTGCACAAACATAAAAAACTCCAGAACAATTCAAAATTGAAATACTCAATCAAAATCTTCTAGTTCTCCTTGTTTAGTTCAGCAGAAAACACCCTAAAAGAAAGAGTAAACCCCGTAAAATATCAGCTCTCAAGCAACCAAAAAAAAAAAAAAAAAAAAAACTTTACAACATTTCATCTTCAGCATTTTTCACAAAGCTCTCTAGATTTCAATTATGCAAACTCTTCTCCTGCCACCGTTCCTTCAAACCCTAATCCAAAGAAAGCAAAAATTAGATATTTAAGCATTAACAACTGGCAGACTTGTGAGGGATCCGCCATCCCCTTTCTCCGACGCCAATCGCCAGACTTGGGCTCTGTCTCTCTATTAAAATCCTGAATTATGAAATTTAGAATTACTAAACAAATATGGCATAGCGAAGATCTACAGGAATGAGGGGGAATTGAATCGAAATGCGGAGGATGAGTAATTTAGAGGGGATTGATAGATACAAAAAATATTTCGATGATAATACGAGTATTTCTTTTAGATTACAGATTCAGAAGAAGCAAAAACCTAGAAAATGGAATGGATTGAAGAGAATAGAAATTACCTTGACGAAAGATGCTGGCCCTGTTTCGTAAAAGGTGGAAAACAATTGGGACAAAACAAAATAAGGTAAGGAAGAGCGGGAAAAAAGGGCATTTACGGTGTGCGTATGCACGCCGTAATAAGTTAATGTATTTAAGGCGTGCATATGCATGCTGTAATAAGTTCACTTTTTTTAACAAACACGGCATGCCCTAAAAGAACATTGTGAATATTCACATTTTACGACATGCAAAAATGCACGCCGTAAATAT